GTTTTCTTCATTTGAGTTGCTTTTATCATCTTCTGTTTGACTCTCCGTGAGTTCATCCCATACATCCTTTGTTTTCTAGTCATTGGATTTGTTGCTATTGATCAACAGATTCTTTGCTTGTTGTTCATCCATCATTTAGAAAGTTTTGGGATAAAAGTGGATTTGGATCTTTAGTTCAAAAGTAGTCAGAAACTGACTCTAGGAACACACCGCTCTGATACCACTTGATGGTCCCGGATAGAGGTAAAAGTCTAGAGGGGGGGTGAATAGACTTTTAAAGCTTTTTAAACTTTGGAACACTTTTCCCTCTAGATGAGTTGATCTATAATCTTTTAAGAGATTAATAGATGCACAGCGGAAGTCTTTAACCTCTTTATACTTAGTGTGAGATAACTTTCTAGTTTAGATGATGTTTAGACTGGTTACAAGAGGAAGTAGGCTTGGCAGTAGACTGGTGAGCAGGTAACTGCTTAGTCTACTGCTGCACAGGCAGTTTGCTGACTGGCAGGCAACTGCTGAGTTGGCAGTCGGCTGGTAGGCAGGTTACTGCTGAGGCAACTGTTAAGAACAGGATGACTCTTGGATGGCTTTTTGTTCTGGCTTGTTATGGCGTTTGGAAAGACACATATGGATGGGCAGTGGGCTCAGCAAGAGGGTGAAGACCAGGGTACTGCTGAGGCACCTTCTGAGTGTAAGATAACTTCTAGTGGAAAACACTCTCAAGGAGAGTGAGTTATTAAGCAGTAGGCTAAGCAGTACAGTCGATGAAGACTACTGCTTAGGATGCTGCTGGCAAACTACAATCCTTTAGTGAGATGTGTTTGGTGTGTGCTCTGCATGTATGAAAGTAAATCAACACACGATATATCCTGGTTCAGAGGTGGTGTAATCCTCCTACATCCAGTCCCACCCTATTTCAGATGGATTTCCACTAAAGTATTCAGCCCAATACAATTAGTGCCAATCTAGCCTTGACAACTCTGGCCTAGATTGAAGGCGTTTCACGAGGAGTATAACACCACTCCAAGTTACTCAAACCTTAAGACTTTTCTCGATTGATCCAGTGGGGATCAAAAGGTACTCTATCTATCTAACCACACTATAGGATCCGAACAACTGTTCTCCTAAGTGTTTACAACAACATGAATTGATTCACGAAGTGTCTAACCGCCAACTAAAACCTAAGCTCTATAAATGTTACAATGAATGATCTAGTCTAAGAGCTTAGTGAAGCATGAGTCAAAGCAGAGTGTTCAAGCACTTTTTCCTTTTGCTGGATATTCGTAGTGTAATGACTGAACCACTTGCTTTGAACTCAATGACTTGCTTTTGATCTCATGCTTCTGCCTATTTTTATAGGCATCTCCAGTAGATTAATCTCCTCCGTTGGTTAAGAGGATTTAATCCTAGACGTCCAAAGTATTGTACTTGCGTCTTCTTGTGTTGGAGCAGGATAAGGATTTGTCTTTTGAAGGCCACTTGCTTTGTACGAAGATAACACCCATACCTTAGGCCTTCTTATCGCTGCATGCCTATTCTGAAACTCTTTCACTTTTCACCTATTCTGATGTCTTCTCTGCTCTTGCATTCTGCGTGTATTTGTCTTGCAACTACACTTGTGAAGCTGAGTGCGTGAACCTGCTTAAGTAGTGAAGTAGTAAAATGTGTGACTTAGAATATTTTGTATCAAATAAATTTTGTACTGGTAGGATCTTTGAAATATCCTATTAAGGTAATAAGATTACCTTATTGCATTTTGTTCTTTCCAGTACAATTTATTTGGTACAAATTTCACAGTAAAATTTGTCACTTATTTTACTAATCACTTTCTTTCTTTAAGTGACATGATTAAACTTATGTACCAAATTAAAGCTATACTGGTTGGATCTAAATATCCATGTAAGGTAAATAATTTTTACCTTATTGCATTTTATAGTTCCAGTATGTTTAATCTGATACATAGTTTGTACATTGGAATTCTTGTCACTTTTAAGTACTTGTGTAGTTTAGCAGGTATTGTGTACAACTTAACTGGTAGGATAACAAATCCTATTAAGGTAAAAGTTATTACCTTATTGCATTTTGTGTTCCAGTTAGTTGTTCACTATTCTTGTTCACTTTGATTTATGTATATATCAAATAACACTTTACTGGTTGGATTTAAATATCCAATTTTAAGATAAAGACAACTTTACCTTATTTCATTTTGAATCCCAGTGTGTTCTTTTTGTTATATAGAATTTACATTGTTATTTGTTGTAGTGAATAGAATATCAAGAACTCTTCTTCTGAGTGTATGGTTTATCTAGTATTTCGAACATGATAAGCTAAATATTTAACTGGTAGGATATCAACTCCTATTAAGGTAAAATTACCTTATTGCATTTTGTTTTCCAGTTAAAATAGATAGTTTATTTGTACGAGATGTTATTGTGTGTAACAAATAAATTTAACTGGTTGGATTTATACGATATCCTTTTAAGGCAATACAATATTGCCTTATTGCATTTTATGGTTTTCCAGTCATATTTATTTGTTAACTATATAAAAAGGAGCACGACACATCTAGATAATTTTCTTAGTACTAGACAACTGCAAGATGCTACAACAGAGGATAACAAAGACTCCTATAATAATGCTACAATAGAGGGGGGGAAACAAAAGCTTTTGGCATCATCAAAACAGTTCATCAAAATCTGGGGTCTAACAATTTCCCCCTTTTGTGATGATGCCAAAAGAAGAGTCCTAATCACTAAAACTCTCTTTCCCCCTCTTTTGGTAGCATCCACAAATTACTCGGTCCTTCTCCTTCTGCTTGATGATTCTCCTTGGGCAAAGTTGGAGAGCCTCTTCTGCATCCTTTGATGATCCTTCTCTCTGAGATTCTTCATTTTCTCGTAGAAGACTCGCCAATTTCCAGAGATGTTCATGGCAGTTTCCACATTTGGGGCTTGAAGCCATTGAAGAACAAATTGTTCTTCAACTCTGACAAAAGCAGTGGCTTGAGAGAGCATGTCAATAGGGGCCGTTCTCCATTTTCTCCAGTTGAGGACTCTTGTGAGTTGGTTTTCAAGAGCTTCCTTTTCTTTGAGAGACTGGATTCTTAAGTTTAAGAATTCTTCTTGATCCAGCTGTTGTGGAGTAGGCTGTTGTGTGGAGGAAGGTTGGGCTAGTGAGAGGTTCAGGAATGGTTCAAAAGGTTTGTTGTTGGAGTTGTTATCGGCCATTTTTGAGGAAGATTAAGGAAGAGTAAGGATATCGGAGTTCTAAGGAAGAATTTGGAATGGACTAACATTGGCTTTAGAGGAGGGATTTATATTTGATTGTGCTGATGATCTCTTCGTTTTCCGAGATCAGTTTTTAATTAACCGAGACCTGTTTAATGTTAAGAGGCAGGTTTCTCTTTTAAAGAGAAAGTATGAGAATTAAATGATATTGGTGTCTTATCATTTATGAAGCCGCTTAATCTTGGATCAGCAAGTGTCGTTCTTGCATGTTGCATGACTCATAACTCTCTTCAGTATTGATGAAGTCTGGTACTTCCTCGTGTAAGCTCTAGTTGGCTTAGATATGGAAAGTTCTAGACTACTGGTTTTGTTATGTTAATGACCAGCAGTAATCACTAGGGTGCTAACTATTTTGTTGAGTGTCCTTTATTTTAATAGGATGGATTTTCCTACTAAAAATTAGGATTTTTCAGAATAGTAGCATTTTTTGTTTATTCCATACTACTGAGTTTGAATAAGTGAGCATGGTACCTTTATGAATAATGCATGATCTCAGATTGTTGACTTATCTTGTTTATTGGTCATGACTCTTGTTGAACAACACTCAATTCCCCTTGGATGATGCTCTTTAGAAGTTTCCTTTTCGTATGTAGCAGTGACCTGAGTGTCAGCAGTCTGCTGAGTCTGCTGTTTTTGGTGAGCAGGTGTCTGCTGAGGCTTCTGCTTCCAGAAAGTAGTCTCCTGCTGATCTTCTGTTTGGATTTGTTCCCCCTTCTTAATTGAAAGTCTGAGATTGACTTCCTTGGACCTTGATGCTTTATTCCTTTGGGGTGGATGCACTAGACTACTTTTCTTGTCTTTATCAAGGGCTCAGCAGTGGACTCAGGCAGTGTGACACCGCTCCCGAACGTCCTTGAAAATTCGATTTAAAATTCAAAGTTTATGTATTGGATTTCTGATTCCCAAACAATTGTAAAACGATTTATGTTTTACGTAATTTATGATCGATTATCTTACCGCTCGAACTCGTACGTTAGTGTTGGGCTTGCGAATACTCGTTGGGGCCTTATTAATAAATAAAAGATCCTAACGTTATCTAAATAGTTATACATAACGTTTCAAGACAAGTTGAGGAAGGGCGGGCAGCCCATATATTATTCGGGCCCAACCTGCTAAAATAGCAAATATTTGAGGACGGCGTCGTAGGCCCACTCGGGGGCGACCCACACGGCTTGTAGCCCAATAATATGAATGACAAATGTCAAAATAAGTGATAGGATGATTTGAGATGAATACAAATGTCTATGATACCATCTTTGACATTATTGAGCTAGATAATGGGAGTAAGATTTTCCTTCTATAATGTCCATCAAGTAAATTATTGAGATGAGCCTACACATATTGGAGATCAATAATGTGATGTAGGAAGTTGACTTGTTCTAAATAAATTAGGATGAGTACAAAAAGACATCTTTGACAAAAGATAAATTAATAGGACCCATCTTCCCATTTTTGGGAGTATTGGTAGATATTTTGGACCCCAAAATAATTGGGATCAATTGGGAACTACTCCACATGATTTTAGTACCTGCAAGACAAGAAAAATAAGTGAGGAGACTTACCTTGGCCGCACAAGCTGGAGGAGGGCTGCACAAGACTTGATTGGAATCAAACTTGAGACCCACCTTGTCAATTTCCGCACAAATTATGGGTGTGGTTTGTCTCCCTCCTTAAGGGGAGTTGTACTCGTCCAAATGAGGTGTATAAGGTGTACTTGGATAGATTTTGAAGTCTATTTTTATAATTGAGTGGTCTCTGTTCGAGAGGAGAGGGTAATCATCCAAAAATCGATCTGGAACGAGCAGTGGTCTGTGAACTCGAGCTGTGAGAGTGCTGAGACTGTTTGGTTGATATCTCGAGTTTTACCAATCCAATTAAGGCGTGTGAGATACCAAAAGAAAGCTCTCAAGACGAGGAATCCGTGAAGGTCTGGTTTGCATCAATCGGAGTAGAGCAAGGCTTCCAAATCGTCCGAGCAGAACGCGACCTCGCAGGGACGGATTTACTCTTCTAAGTGAGTTTTTAATCCCAAAACTTTTCCATTCATTTTCCAAATGATATGAACGATTGGTGGGACTATTATACACTACTCCAAGTGTATAAAACATCCCTATTAAGTTATTTTATTGATGTAAAGGTTAGATACTAACCTAGATGCAAATATTGGAAAACTAGGAATCGAGTTAGCCGGAAAACACCCGTTCTAGGGGCTGTTTTCGTATCAACGATTAGGGGTTGAAATAGCAACTTGAGGAGGCTGTTTAGCACCCATTTCTAAGCAAGGAATCAGTTCTCAAGCTTCCTTGGCCGAGGCTTTGGTCATTGGATCGAGAAGGAAAGTTTTAAAGCTCATTTGAGGTGAGGATCGACATCTAGTTGCTTACAACTTGTAGGTTAAGCATGAGATTACCTAAATGCCTAAATAATGTTTTCCATGGATTATGATGATAAATTATTGATGGAATATTGATCTATTTTCCAAAGAATGAAATGAGAAATGATTTGGTAAAGTATTGATAAAAATGGAGTTAAATGAACTATTGTGTGAAATAGTCACTTTACTCATGTGTGAATTGTGTGGATACATAAATGATTATTTATGTATTACATTGAATGATTAAGTTGCTGCTACATATCTCTAAATATGTAGGGTTTTACAAATGGAATATATGATGGATAAGAATAATCTTAATAGTATTGAAATACTAGTTAATGATTGTTGTAATTGTTAAGGAATTGAATCTATGGATTTGATTGAAATTGATGAACTTGATTGTGATGCAAGTGACTAAATTGATGTAATGCGATGCTAAGACCATGGTTGGGCAGTCCGTAAGGATGTCCCAAAATAGATTATTTGTGACACCGCACCCGATTGTACTTGAAATTTAAAGAGGATATGAATTTGAATTTCCTAGCAAATAAAATTCATATAATTGATTGGCATATTTAATTAATGCATGATTAATTAAATTATATATCGGGTCCATTATATGAGAATGGGCTACCAAATATTTAGTTGGGGCATCATAATAAAATTGTAGGAGTCCAATAAAACGCCAACCGAAGTTGATAAAAATATTTGGACAACCCGAGTGCTATTTTGGCCCAACCTGCCAAAAATAGCAGGAATAATTGGGAGGGACTTTCTACACCCACTTGGGGTATCCTACACACTGATTAGACTCAAAATAAGGGAGGGGGACCACACCATTTGGTGGTGTGCGGATGATTGAGAGGGAAGTCTCCTAGAGACACTCCCATGTTCCAAACTCTCCATTCACTATTGAGAGTTGATTGAGGAGGCTCTCCCACCCACTTCTTGCACTCATTCGAACCACACAAGAGGGAAGAGCTCCAGGGGGTTATCTCAACAAGGCTAAGGTAGAGGGAGCATCAAGAGGGAAACCCCAACAAGAAAGAGCAAGAAGAAGAGGTAAGAACACCACTTCTACTCTTTTTACTAGTTTTGTTGCATGATTTCTAAGAAATCATGTGGTGGATCAAACATGGAGTTCTACACGTTTAAAAGTGTGGAATAATGTTATATAGGGGTGGTATTTAACTTAGGAGAGTCGTGGAATCGATAGGAGTTGAAACCACCGGAAACCGCCAAGGAGAAGAAGCTGTTCGTAGTTGCAGACTACGAAAGCCGCCCGGCTTTTGGTGAAAGCCGCCCGGCTTTTGGGCTACTGTCCAGGAATTTCGCCTTTGATCGGTTTAGAACGGGGATCGATCGAAGGGCTTATCAAAGGCAACTAATCCAGCACTTCATAAGGTGAGGATGGCTGACTATGTTGCTTATAATCTTTGGGTTAATTTCGTAGGATTACCTAAAGTAATTAAATGTGATTTTCATGGATTATTAATGATTAATAATGCCTAAATGAAAATATTGTTGTCAATGAATGAAGGAGCATAATATACAAATTTAAGGGTAAATTGTGTATGATTATGTAATATGAGCATATTGGCTTGATGAAAGGATTAATTATAAATATTGCGTTGAAATATAACTTTAACTTCATATAAGGATATATGAGTGATTAAAGGTTATATTTTGTGTATTGATATGAACTATATTTTCAATGGAAAATCAGTTTGGAAATTGTAAATATGACTATGAATTGAAAATGAGTTTTGTTGGAATTTATCCGACTAGTATTATGATACTAGTCGGGGTTTTGGAATGAAATATGTTAGAATTGATCCAAGGTTTGGATTGTAAATTGATGAGCCTTAAGTAGTCTTAAGAGATATTAAGGTGGATAAGTGATGCTAGGGGTAGGCCTTAAGGGATACCCAAGATAAAGTGAATAGTAAATTGATCCTAGGAATAGGATTGGCCTACGGGTGTATTCGGTAGTCTTTAAGGATTAGCCGATAGAGTATTGGAAATTAGTAAGGACCATGGCCCTTCCCGACTCTAGAGAGCGGGGTTGGATAGCATGGACTTACATCGTGATCACGGGTTAGGGTGGAATCCGAACCGGAGACCTTACGAGGCTCCCGACAGCGGTAACACATAAGATAGGACCCCGAATGGACCTTACCTTCCTACGGGATGATGGGTATGAGTTCAGGGGCGGGATGTTGGACTCCGGCCCGAGAGCCCGGTGAGGCCTCGGAGAGCGGTGACAAGTCTCGTAAAGGATGATAAGACCTACGGGCGGTGTCGTGCTAACGACGGGTATAATGAATTATATGAAATGGGCCGTGTGCCGACAAATAAATAAATTTACTTATTATGAAGATAATAAGGGTTAAAGAAGAACTATCATTATATTATGATATCACCCTATTTTGAGGGTCTTAGAAATTAAAACGTTGATTATACTTAGTATAGTTGTCATTGTACTTGTCAAATGCTTCCAAGTACTGACCTCCCCTTCACGGGGGAGGCCACCTCACAGTTTCAGGTAGGGAGTAAAGTTTGCTACCATCGCCCGTTGCTTCGGGGAGCTCAGGGAGAGAAGACGTGGTTCGTGCTTCCTCCGTTCTATTTTTAAAACATTAAATTAATGCTCATGGATATTATTTTGATTAATTATTTGGGGCTTGTACGCCCATGTTGCCGAAGTGTGGCATAAACACTTGTATTAAACGTTTCCGCTGATTTAAATGATTATTTTACATTATGTTTGTTTATGGATGTACTATTGTGAATGATATTCAAGACGCCTAGTATAGTATGGATGAGTTGGACTGCGGTTGACTATTCGTACTGTACGGCGGGTTGTTGACGTGTCCGGTAGGTCCGGGGCGTGACAATTAAGTTGGTATCAGAGCCTTAGTCCGTAAACTTCATAATGAAGCTTCAAAATTCCTTTTTGAAAATGATTTTGCAAACCATGAGCATAAAGTTTTGTACTTATAGAACTTTTGGTACTTGAGTTGCAAGGTCTCTAATTGTTAAGATGGTACCCTTAACAATTGGTATGGCGGTGAGTTGAGCCAAAAGATGTCTTTAAGTACCTATCCGTCACTTGACATTTGATACGAGTCTAATGGCTCAATCTAAACTTCTTTCAGAAATGGAGCCAATCGGAAGAATCACTAGGAGGAACCCGACGGGCCGTGTACCGGGTGGATCCGAACGCGGCAGCCGGGGGTCCACTAGGGTGTCAAGGGGAAGGGGCCGTGGAGGCCAACAACAAACCGTGAGCGATGGCCACGTCGACACGGAGAGTGAGACTTATTGGTCCTACGAGGACTCAACCTATAGGCCGGAAACCGAGCCGGTGGAGACCCCTTATGAAGGGGATGATGATGATGTTAGTGACGAGGAGCAAGATGGCTCCTTGGCAAGAATTGAGGCGCTACTCCAACAATACCACCGAGAGCGCGAGGAGAGGAGGGAACGCCGAAGGCGCCGGGTGGGGCAACCTTCGGGTATGGCTTCAAGAGGAGGAAGCCACAATGCATCTAGAGTCCATGTGGAACCACATGGAGGCCGAAATGATGGAGGTCCAACCATAAGGATCTCCAAATTTATCAAAGAAGCAAGAGACTTGGGGTGCAAACCCTTTGACGGGACCGGAGACATTTCGGTTGCCGCCCAATGGATCAAGAGGTTGAATGAAGCAGCCCTTGACATGCAAATCACGCCCAACCTTAAACTGAGAGTAGCGGTAAGGTTGCTTGAGGGGATGGCATCCAAATGGTGGGATGGAACCAAGAGCAAGTATGGCGAGGGCGTCATTTGGGAGGACTTCCAACGGGAGTTCTTTGCCCAATATTACTCCGACTTCGAAGTGAACAAGAAGGTGAGGGAATATACCCTCCTAACTCAAGGGGGTAACATGACGGTGAAGGAACTTGAGTACAAGTTTCGGGACCTTGCCGACTACATACCGGAGTACGCTTGCGATGAGAACCGGATGGTGAACCACTTCTGGGATGCCCTAGACTTGGAGATACGTGATAGGGCAACACAATTGCCTAACATGACCTTCGCCCAAGTGGTAGACCAAGCCTTGAAGGGCGAAAAACAGTGGGAAGAGAGGAAGAAAAGAGACGCCGAGGAGGCGAAGAAAAGAAAATGGGAGAACCATGGCCCCCAAGGTTCTAACAAGAAGGGGAACCACGGGGGAGGTGGCTCATTCAAGGCCCCTGCACCACCATCGAGGGCGAATCAAGGCCCAAGCGGGCAAGCCTCGAGGTCTCAAAACTCGGGAGTACCAAGGTGCAGCAACTGCAAGAAGCTTCACCACGGCAAGTGTCGTGATCCCCCGAGATGCTACCAATGCGGGGAGGTCGGGCACATGAAGGTGAGTTGCCCACAGCTTGGGCGAGGTACAGGTTCCGGACCGAGTAGTGGGACCATGGTGAGCAGAAACCGAACGGGAGCACCGAGTGCAAGTATGGGGCACGGTGGAGCTAGCACAAGTAATGCACCGTCCGTGAATCAAGGGAGGACCCAAGCAAGGGTCTATGCGATTACGGAAGCCGATGCACGTGCTAACCCGGACTCCGTCGCGGGTAAATTCTTGAACTTTTGATGTTATTTCCTTGTAAACAATATAAATGTTGGGATGTATAAGTTATATGGCCAACCCAGCCTGTTTAAAGTTCAAAGAAGTGGACAGATATCTGCCTGGGGCGAAAGCCGCCCGGCTTTGACGAACGTCGCCCGACGTTTGTCTATGATTTTTACATAAATCCTACGGCGACCATAAGCCGCCCGACGTTGACGAAAGCCGCCCGGCTTTCGTGCTTGATTTTTGGTTAAATCATTCGGCGTATAAAAACCGGCCGCGTTTCGTAAAAACCGGCCGGCTTGTGTTCAGGAATTCCGGTATGGGGCGCTGCTAACGAAAACCGGCCGGCATTCGTAAGAACCGGCCGGCTGTTATAAT